TTTAAAAAAAAATTTTTTTTTTTTTTTTTTTTTTTTTTTGTCTTTTTGTCTTTTCCGTGTCTGGCAACGGATCGCAACCCTCAGTGTTGCCCCCGTACCGGACTGGGGACCGGCAACGGGATCGCAACCCTCGGCGTTGCTCCCGCGCCCCGCTCAGCCAGTGAGCGGGAACCGGTCAGTATGTGGGATCCGAACCCTCGGGCGGGAGCGCCACCGCGCTTCCCAAGCGGCACACTATCCAGTGCGCCACCGGGCCGGCCCTAAAAAAAAATCTTTTATTTTGAGATAATTTGAGACTTCTGGAAAAGTTACAAGAATAGTACAAAGAATTTTCATCTACCTTTTACACAGATTCAGATGTTAACATTTTATCGTATTTTCTTTACCATCCTCTTTATCTGTAGGTAAATAGATATTTTTTTCTGGACTTTTTGAGTATGTTGTAGAAATTATACCCCTTTACTCCTAAGTAAGTACCTGTGGTGTTTCGTAAAAAACAAGGACATTCTCTTACATAATCACAATAAAATAATCAAAATCAGGAAATTAACAAATACTATTATTTAATACACAGACCTTATTAAAATTCACTGTCATATTAATAGTCAGACAGTATGTACTTTCTTTTTTTGGCGGCTGGCTGGTACAGGAATCTAAACCCTTGACCTTGGTGTTACAAGGCAGTGCTCTAACCTGCTGAGCTAACTGGCCAGCCCTAAGTTTGTTTGTTTTGTAAGTGTGTAATTTTTGAGACTCACTTGTTTCACTTAGCATAAAACATTTTAGATTCATCCATGTTGTCATGTACATCAATAGATTCTTTTTACTGATGAGTAATATCCCATTGTTTGAATTATAACACAATCTGTTTATCCATTTTACCAGTTGGTGAACATTCTAGTTGTTACCAGTTTTAGGCTACTAGGAATAAAGCTATGTGAACATTCATCTACAGGTTTTTGTGTGAACATGAGCTTTCATTTCTCTAGGGAAAATACCCAGGAGTGTGATTGCTGAGTTTCATTAAGTATATGTTTAACTTTATGAGAAACAGCCAAACTGTTTTCCAGAGTAGCTCTACATTTTGAATTACCACCAGCAGTGTGTGAGATATCCAATTTCTCTGTATCCTTGCTGGCATTTGATATCTCACTGTGGTATTAACATGAATTTCCATAGGGACTAATGATATTGAGAGTTTTCTTTCTTTCTTTCTTTCTTTCTTTTTTTTTTTTTTTTGGTGGCTAGCCGGTACAGAGATTGAACTTGGACCTTGATGTTATCAGCACCACTCTCTAATCAACTGAGCTAGCCAGCCAGCCCTCTTACTGTGTTTTGAGAGTCCTTTATATATTCTGAATACAAGTCCTTTGTCAGAAACATGATGTGAGAAGCATCCTCACCCGTCCAAGGTCAAAGGATGGACACGGAGACATGAGGTACAGCAAAGTGAGACTTTAACTATGGCCTTGCAAGGTTTGGGTGTCTGAAGGGCAGGCACATGGAAAAGGGCTGTAACAAGCAAATTATTTTCTAGTGCGCAAGTCCCTGCCCCTGCCGCCTCATTGGCTGAGAGTACTATGGGATGCACAATCTTCCCAGATGATGTCTAAGAGTACCCCAATTTACTACCCCCTTGTAGGAAATTTCTTTGTCTGAAGGCTCAGGACAAGCCCGCGTAAAAGGCCCACCCAAAACCCTGTGAAAGAGAAACATTAGGAAATGAAGAGAACGTAAAGGGCTATTAACTCATTACCATCTCGAGGACAACTTTATCTGTTCAGCGACCCCCCAGGAATGGGCTGTACCAGTCAGACAACTTTTGGGCTGGGCCTGAATTATTTCTGAAAATGAATCACTTAGATTATTTTCTTACTCATGATGTGCAAATATTTTCTCCAAATCTGTCAGTTTTCTTTTCATCTTCTTAACAATGGTGAGGGAGAATGTACTGTGGTTGAAGAACTGATAGAAAGCCAGTATGACTGGAGGACAGGCAGTTAAGAATTTACAGACCATGGGCCGGCCCGGTGGCGCACTGGATAGTACGCCACTTGGGAAGCGTGGCGGCGCTCCCGCCTGAGGGTTTGGATCCCACATACAGACCGGTTCCCGCTCACTGGCTGAGCGAGGCGCGGGAGCAACGCCGAGGGTTGCAATCCCGTTGCCGGTCCCCGGTCCGGTACGGGGGCAACACTGAGGGTTGCGATCCGTTGCCGGACACGGAAAAAGACAAAAAAAAAAAAAAGAATTTACAGACCATGTTAAGGTGTTTGACATTTTATTCTAAGGGCAGCAAGAAGCCATTGAGGGCCGGCCCGGTGGTGCACTGGATAGTGCGCCGCTTGGGAAGCGCGGCGGTGCTCCCGTCTGAGGGTTCGGATCCCATATACAGACCGGTTCCCGCTCACTGGCTGAGCGAGGGGCGGGAGCAACGCCGAGGGTTGCAATCCCGTTGCCGGTCCCCGGTCCGGTACGGGGGCAACACTGAGGGTTGCGATCCGTTGCCGGACACGGAAAAAGACAAAAGACAAAAAAAAAAAAAAAAAAAGAAGCTATTGAATGCTGTTAAGCAGAGAGGTAACATGAATGGATTTGTGTTTTGAAAATATCACTCTGGCTACAGTTTGAAGAATGGATAATTAGAAAAATCTAGAGTACTTATGGAAACCAGTTAGAAAGTTACTGAAGTAGTCCAAACAAGGAATTATGTCAGCTTAGACCAGGATAGTAGCAGTGCAGATGGGAGAGAAATGAATAGATTCAAGACATACTAAGGGGCCGGCCCGTGGCTCACTCGGTAGAATGCGGTGCTGATAACACCAAGGCCGCGGGTTCGGATCCTATATAGGGATGGCCGGTTTGCTCACTGGCTGAGCGTGGTGCTGACAACACCAAGCCAAGGGTTGAGATCTCCTTACCGGTCATCTTTTTAAAAAAAAAAAAAAAAAAAAAAGACATACTAAGGAAGTAAATATCTAGCTAATACCCAGTGCATCCAATCTTTGCAGGAAAACATTTAATATTTCAACATTATATTGGGTGTTTAGCTGTAGGTTTTTCTTAGATGTCTTTTATCATAGAGAAGAAGGTGCCCTTTTACTTTAGTTTGCTGAGAGTTTTTGAAAAATCATAAATAATTGATAAACTTTGTCAAATGCTTTTTCTGCATCAATTGAGATGATGATGTGTTGTTTTCTTTTTTATTCTGTGGTAGAACTACATTGATTTTGAATGTGGAACAAACCTTGGATTTGCTAATATTTTGTTGAAGATTTTCATTAAATGTTTAAGAGAATTTCCCAGTGAAATCATATGTGCCTAGAGTTTTTTTCCTATGGAAAGCTTTTAATTATAAATTCAATTTCTAACAGATGTAGGACTATTCAGATTTTCTATTTCAAAGAACCAACCTTTGACCTTATTGATTTTCTCTCTTGGTTGTTTCCTATTTTATTATTTTCTATCTTCTACTTACTACGTACTTCACTTTTCTTTTTCTAGCTTTTAAAGGTGGAAGCTTAGATGTAGATTTTAGATGTTTCATTTGTTTCTCTTGTGAGTATTTTAAAGGTATAAATTTTCCTTAAAGCATTATTTAGCTGTGTGCCACAATTCTTAATATACTTTTCCATTATCCTTCAGTTTGAAAATACTTTCTTTTGCTCAATTTCCAATTATTTGTAATTTTCTAAATAATCTTATTGTTCACAATTTCTAATTTAAATCCATTTCGTCAGATCACATATTCTTTATCATTCCTTATTATTCCACTCCTTTGAAATTCAATGAGACTTATCTTATGGCCCACCGTACAGTCTATCTTAGTGAATGCTCCATTGTCACTTAAAAAAAATGTGTATGCTAGAGCGGCCCTTAAAGTGCCGGGGAGAGGAGGGCGGGCGGGGACCACCCCAGAGCAGGCCACCGGCAGTATCATGGCCACCCGGAACCCCCCTCCACAAGAGTGTGAAAGCGATGACGACTCTTACGAAGTGTTGGATTTAACTGAGTATGCGAGAAGACACCACTGGTGGAATCGAGTGTTTGGCCACAGTTCGGGACCTATGGTAGAAAAATACTCAGTAGCTACCCAGATTGTAATGGGTGGCGTGACTGGCTGGTGTGCGGGATTTTTGTTCCAGAAAGTTGGAAAACTTGCAGCAACCGCAGTGGGTGGTGGCTTTCTTCTCCTTCAGATTGCCAGTCACAGTGGCTATGTGCAGATTGACTGGAAGAGAGTCGAAAAAGATGTAAACAAAGCAAAAAAACAGATTAAGAAACGAGCAAATAAAGCAGCACCTGAAATCAACAATGTAGCTGAAGAAGCAACAGAATTTATCAAACAGAACATTGTGATATCCAGTGGATTTGTGGGAGGCTTTTTGCTAGGCCTTGCATCTTAAGGACATGAATGTTCTACCATAGTGGATTTAATGTGAGAAGAGAAGTGGTGGCTACAAGGTGGTCTGTCAACAGCACAGACCACTAGAGTCTCCAGGGCAAGGAAGAACAACTGGCTGGACAATATCGAACTCACAACTTAGCATTTTGCCATCTGAAGCTTGGCAAACTAGTATTTGCTGTCAACCTATACGGTATGCAAACAATAGTATTCCTGAGCAAAACACTTTCATCATTTTTAAAAATTTGCATCTGTTTAGAAGCTAGCCTATAAAATATCACCATTGGATGTAGATATGGAGAAGAAATAAATGTTGGATTTATTGCCCAGTGGAGGGGCGGGGGGAATGTGTATTCTGCAGTTGTTGGGTATAGTAACCTATAAATGTGTACCAGGTCAAATTAGTTTATAATTTTGTTTAAATCTTCTGTATTCCTAATTTTTGTCTATTCTTAGTATTCTATCAATTGCCAAGAGAGGGCTGTTAATATTTCCAACTGTGGTTGTGGTTTTATCTATTTCTCCCTTTCTTCTGTTATTTCTGTCTGCATAAATTATAAATATATAAGTGCCAGTCCTATCTCCTCTAACTCATCATCTTCCTGGACTGAAAAACCCTTCTTTCTCTGCCCATTTATTATTTTCTTGATCATTTCAGCAGCTCTTCCTGTATCATTTCTAACTATGATTAGAAGGAACCCCTTCTATAACCACTGCATCAAGGCATACTCCTAGTCATACTTTAAGACCCATTTAAAACAGTATGTCTTCTATGACAATTTCCCACTAATATTTTCTCCCTCTTATGAGATCCTCAATTCTTGTAACTGTTTGCACACGTTTGCTAACCTTACCTGAGTAAAACTCCTCCGAGGAATATTTGGTTCATCTCAGTATTTGTAGTGCCTAGTCTGGGACTTGGCACACCATAAGTGCTCAGTAAATGCTGCTGGATGTATGAAAGGATAGAGGTATGAGTCAGAGAAGGAATGCTCGTCTCTCTGAGCTTCAGTGCTGAGAGCGTAATTTTGTGCAGATGCACAACATGTGAATCCAGTATGTTGGGCTGATAGCTCCCAAGCTCTGACTCCCACATCCTCTTTGCTGACATAGAAGTATTTCAGAAACCACCATCCTTTAATACTGGATTTGTCTTTGTTAAGCAACTCACCTTAAATATGCCTGGAAGACTGGGAAAACTTTTCAAAGTGACGGGTAGGCTTTAAAGCATAAATAGTAGTTTCCTGTGTTAAATGAAAAAAGATATCAGAAAAAGGAAGTAGTGTGGAGATTCTTCTAAAATCTCTCTACAGTCCAAATTTTAGCATTGTGTGCAAATGCTCTCTTCTACTACCACACCTATCACTCTATACTCGAGTTGTACTGAATTACTTGTAGTTCCCTAGGCTTTTTCTTTGCTGTGAGCCTTTGTACATGCTGTTCCCTGTACTTGGAATGCCTTGTTTCTTGATTTCCTTTAACGTGGTTAATTCCTGTTTGTCCTTTAGGTCTCAGCTTAAATGACACCTCCTCTGGGATGCCATCCCTGACCGCCTGCTCTGACCTTCCAGGAATGAATTAGGTGGCCTTTCTCTGTGTTCTCACAGTACCCAGAACTTGCTTCCTTGTAGTACTTATAAAACTATTAACATTTGCTTTTAGTTTTATTTTGTATGTATGTGTGTATATATATTTGTGTGTGTGTGTGTGTGTGTGTGTGTGTGTCTGGCTGGTACAGGGAATTTTATGTATTTTTCACTAGACTTGGAGCTCCTTAAGAGCAGCACTGTATCTTCTCTGTTATTCCCAGGACCCAGAACAATGCTTGGCACAGAGTAAACCTTAGTAAACATTTCTTGAATGAATGAAATCCACAAGAATGCCTATTGCAAGGAAAGACTGAAAGCAGGTACCTGTCTACTCTCTCTTTCCACATCCAGCATTCCCCTGGTGTGCAGCCTGCAGATGTGAAGGAAGTTGTCGAGAAGGGTGTACAGACCCTTGTGATTGGCCGAGGGATGAGTGAGGCCTTGAAGGTAGGTAATGGTATGCACAGCATTCCTGAAGATAGGTGGTGATTTCTTGGTCACTTACCTTACAGATTTGTCCTTCTTGGGAGTTCATCTCTCTATATCATGCACCCTCATTTTGCTGAGCAATTGGATGACCCAAGAGAGAATGATGGCTGCATACGCTACTCTGCCTCATTAGGCCTGAGTAACCCTGAGTAACCCTCATCAGGCTATCTAACCCTGAGACTGTGTCATTTCAACTATTTTTCAGAAATGCCTCAACCCCAGAATTTCTCAAGTTCTACAATGATCAATATTTGGTCTTTCAGATTCTAATACTACTTTACATTTTTATAGTCTATTTTATAATATTTTTTCTTTTTCTTTTTTAGGGCACATTCAAGTTATTTTATCCCCTTTCAGAAAAAAATAGTTATTTTTAATTTTACTTGCAGAAATAATACATTCTCACCATAAAAGATTCAGGACTCAATGCAGAAATGTAAAAGTGAAAAGGTGAAAGATTTCCCCAATCTCCACATTTAGTATATACCAGTCCAGTTCTCTCTGTATGCATCTGCAGATATATACACACTTATACATGTATACACTTGTACTAGTTTGTTTCTGATCTGTTGCTTATAATAAAATAGGTGGAACTGGGTAATTAATAAGAAAACTAAATTTATTGCTTACAGTTTCAGAGTCTGGGAAGTTGAAAGTCCAGGGAACACATCTGGTGAGGGTCTTCTTGGTGGTGGCTTTACAGCAATGTAGGGGACTCACATGGCAGAAAATGGCAGAGTAGGACCAAATGTCATGGTCCTACAATCTAATCACGTCTTCAAGGCCCCACCTTTTAATTACCATAATAGGTAATTTCCCACCCTCAACAGTTACAGTGGGGGCTGGCCCGGTGGCGCACTGCTACAGTGCACCGCTTGGGAGCGCGGCGGCGCTCCCGCCGAGGGTTCGGATCCCACGTACAGACCGGCCGCTCACTGGCTG